CCCCAAAACCCCAAAACCCCAAAACCCCAAAACCCCATTTAAAACAAAATTATTGCAAATCTGACATAAATATAAAAATGGTACTCGGCCATATCGCTCAAAGCTTAACTTTGAACCTCATAGGTCCAGACAGCATATTGTTGTAAGTAATTCATTTAAAGTGAGAAGGGACATGAGGATATTGCTTTAGAGCAGTTCATATAGCAGTAGCAGGACATTCTCATGGCTTAATGCTTAAAAAGATTTTGCTCAGATTAATATTGCTCACTAGGGAATCCTCCTAAGTTTTCTGAGTCAGACTCAATACACTAAAATTAGATCATAGCTTTCTTGAATTTAAATGTTTGTTTTATCTTCTCTCGCAATTTTAATAGTTCCTTCATAGGCTGATTCTCAAAGCAGTTGTCCCAGTGTTCGTGATCGCTTACTACATAATTTTGGAACGATATAAAGACACAGAATTGATGACAGATGACTTCATTCTTTACTTTGTACAACTAGTAGTCTTCTGGCACTTCTACTCGAGGATCATTCGTAGTGCTTTTGAAGTATGAAAGAAGACTCAGGGTGCAATCTGGTTCTATCTTCCCCTCCTTGCTATTTTCTTCATCTTTAAAATTGTTTGGATATTTACCTTTGCAGTCCAAATAGAGAGAACAATCTACTGGAGAAGATACATCTTTGAAATCATCTATGTTGTCATGCAGATCATCAACGGAACTATTTTAGGAGAGATGTCACAAGATTTTTGGTATTTCGTAGCAGATTGTCTTATTGGTACGCAGGTTTATACAATCTTCTTCAGAGATGAGCTAAACTACTCTGTGTTCAATTCCTTCACTCCTATTTTATTGGCCATCCTCACATTTTTGTTAGTGAAAGGACTCTTGATTAATCATAAGTTTAAAGATCAACTATGAATGGTTAAGACTATTGGAAAGCACGATGCTATATACTTGATCTTAGTCTATGCTCTGGTTAGTTTCCTGACTTATACCATTGATTTCTTTGCAAACACATACTGGGCAGCTCTCGGATTTATTTATGTGTTCCATAACATCATAATATTCCCCTCTCTAATGGAGTCAAAATTGATTATTCCTTTAATCACAAGTACGATTTTCATGGGTCTTGTAGCTCTCTTACAGCTCCACATTATGAACCACAGCCCAAATCCTTATCCAAGAGACTTAACAATAAATGAGGATCTGAGTACAAATACTCCAAACGGGCACAACCTCCTCTCTTTCATCGCAAACGCTATCCAATGCCAAGTCGCCGACTAACCTGCTATAATCCCATTTAACCCAAAAAATTCAATATTTTTCTTCGAAAACGGGGTTTTGGGGTTTTGGGGTTTTGGGGTTTTGGGG